GGGGAGAAGAGAGGAGGGGAGAGGAGAAAAGAAGAGGCAGAGAGTGCACTGTGTCCAAACCCTCCTTGCCCAAAGGAGAAAGAGGCTCTGCCAGGGGGCTCTGCCAGGGGCTCTCAGTTTGCCAGCCCCTCCCTTGCACCTTCTCTGACTTTGCCCTGAACTCTTTCAATGCCCATTGTTCCCAGGACTCCTGGGTATGACCTAGGCACAGGAGACACCTTGTACATCAGCTTCTGACTGAGGCCGCTTAGCGTGGCTCTGCCGTGGATCCCACAGTCTACGATGCCCCAGGGGTGTAGAAAGGGGCCTCTCCTGGGCTTTGTGCTTTGGCTGCAGACTCGACCGTCAGGGATTTTGTGGGACAAGAATTTACAGAGGTTGAGGAGCCTGACGGTGTGTGTGTGTGTGTGTGTGTGTGTGTGTGTGTGTGTGTGTGTGATGGAAGTCCAACAGAGTGCTTGGGTATCTGGAGAAAGCACGTTTCTCCTCAGACTTTGGAAACTGAGAGGTCTCGGCCCAGGGCCACACGGCTGAGGGGCACGCTGCTGAAGGATCCCCCTTCCAAGGGAGGCAGGATTTTGCTGCCTGGCCCTGGGCAAGGGTGGGGTCCAGCCCCACAGGATGGGCAGAAGTGTGGGTAGCCTTGCAGGCTCTGGGGGCTCCCCTCAGCACCTGCTCTGTGTCTTCTCTGTGGACACACAGGCATGTAGGTAGGCGGACACCCGTGGACATGAATCGCTTATTAATAGAAGTAATTACAAAATGGAGGCAGGCACGTCTGGTGCTTTGGGTGCTCCCCAGAAACACCACGAGGGGTGGCGGGAAATGGGGCGGCTAGCACACTTTAATTAAGTTAGAGGCTATGGGGCAAAAAACCGGCAAAGGCAGAGACGAGCAGGGAAAAGGCATCCTGGGCCGGATGGGCCTGGAGGGAGAGGGCGGGGGAGGCAGGGTCCAGAACCACGGGCCGCCTCCTGTCTGCGCCTCACTGGGGCTGGCCCACAGACATATCCGGCTCAGCCCCATGCCGTCCGCACCTTTTGGATATGGGGGGTCCGCCATGCCCATGGTGGAGGCCCCGACCGTAGCCGGAGCGACCGCTGCTGATTCAGCCGTGTTGCCAGGATGTGAATTTTGGTAATTTGTTGTTCGGTCGCCTCAGTTGAGTCCAGTACTCCGTGACCCCATCTGGGGTTTTCTTGGCAAAGACACTGAAGTGATCATTTTACAGATGAGGAAACTGAGGCAAACAGGGTGACGTGACTTGCCCAGGGTCACCCAGCTAGGAAGTGTCTGAGGTGGGATTTGAACTCAGAAATAGGAGTCCTCCTAACTCCTGGCCTGGCGCTCTGTGCACCATGGCGCCCCTCCCTGCTTTGGTTGGCATAGAAGATACTATTTGTAAATCACGCTCCTTTGGTCTTTTGGACGGTGTGTCCGTGACTTCCAGGTTCCCCTTGGCCATCTTATTTTCTGGGATTGCCCCCTTACAGCGGCTACGTGTAAACTCACTATTGCGCTGACCAGAAGTGGGGTGGGGCTGGGGGGCTCAGAATAGGACACAGTTGTCACACCCCCACATATGTGGAGTGATGCCACCTTCTGGGAGCTCCCAGCCTTGAGCAGGGTCACCTTGGCCTGATTCACCAGCTCCCATCCCGCCTCCCCATGAGGTCTCCCAAGCTGTCCCTCTCAGCTCACCTGGGTCCAGTGAGCCCCTTCGGGGTGGCCGGGGTGGGGCAGATGGGCAGTGGGTCAAAGTTCTGCCTTCTCCCCGTGAGGGTCCTTGGCTTCTTCCAGTCCAGGGCTGAGCAATGGTGCTTTGGGCTCAGACGCCTGCTGGTCCAGCAGCTTTCTCTGAGTCTCCAGATGAAGGATCTTGGGAGCAGAGACTTGACCAGCCTAGTCTGGCATCAGCAGGATAGACCGGCCCTGGGGATGGCTGCCTTCACTTCACTGTGTGAGCAGAGACCCAAGCACAAGGGCCCACTTCATACCAACTGGTCCTTTCACCTTTCCTGGATCCCAGGGAGAATGAAAAGCCCAGGACCTCACTGGGACACCGTCCAGCCTTCCCTGGCAGCCAGTACCCGGGAGCATATGGCCAAGCCTCACCATGGCCCCAGGCTTCAACCCCAGCAGAGTCTGCTCAGAATTCGGCCATGTGCCTCTGGCTCCTGGACCTCGGCCCCTAGAGGTTGTGGGAGGGGAGGAAAACTCAGATGTGGTCCATCCTGGACGCTGCCTCCCTGTCCCCTGTCTCACCCAGCCCTGGAAAGGGAGGCCGGGTAACAACTTCTGTTCTGCAGGGAGGTAAAGGGAGAGCCAGGAGGCCAGTGGCCAGTTGGGGAGCTGCCGCTGCCCCAGAGCCAGCAGGATTGTGGTAGTGGACTTGGGCAGCTTCTGGAGTCTGTCCGAAGTGATGGGGAAAGGAAGGGGGGCACCTCTGAAGGGGGCTGCCTGGTGGTGGGGGTGGGACTGTGCCCTGAGGCCCGATGGAGGCTTCTCCCCCCGCCCCCCAGCTATGCCTTCAGAGAGTGAGCTATGGCCAAGGTAGGGCTTCTAGACAGAGCTGTGTCCCGGGGCCAGCCTCGGGCTGGGGGGAGGGGGGGGAGTGTGACCCCAGCAGGGGGCCAGCTTCAGCCTCTTGTGCTCTGCTCTTTATTGGGCTGGGGCATTGGTGAGCACATACAGGCATGGAGGACTCTCAGAAACCTCCCTCTTTCCCTGTTCCATGGCCTGCCTGCCCCCGAGGCCAGTCCTTTCGATCATTCTGTCTTAATGCTTCTTCTGGTGCACAAGGCCGGGGCTCCCATCCTGGACAGGCACTGCCCCGGAAGCATCGCTGACGACCACCAAATGCAAACATGCCCGTGATTTCCAACCTTGAAGGCCTTGCACGCAGCAGACACTAAGTGAATGTTTCCAAAATTGAATGTTAGTTCCCTGACCCACCACTGATGGAAAGGGGCGTGTCTATCTAGGACCTTCACGTTTTCTTTGGAACCCCATCCCCCAAGACTGGGTGATTTTGCAGCTCCCAGAGGCGTCTCCTGTTGCCAATCCACGCCCAGCTTTGTGGTGGTTGTGGTGAGAACGTGGGTGGACACACCCCTCAGCCCGAGAATCCTGGGAAACTGTCATGATGTGATGAGAATCTGAGTAATTGGCCTAACAGGGCACTTTCTTCTTCTAGGGAGAGCCAGGCCCTGCTGGTCCTTACGGTCCTCCCGGCCCCCCTGGCATTGGACAGCAGGGACTTAAGGTACGGATTCCCTCCCTCCGTGTGGGAGCCTTGGTGGGAACTTCAGCCAGGCCACCGCCCTTGGGCACTGTTCTAAGATGCTGGGCTGGCCTGGGGTGGGCGGGGAAGGCCTGCTCCCACTTTTTGCCATGGGATGTGACCGGAAGCCCTTCTCAACCTCCCCCATTGGTTTGGGTTGTACTTGCCCCATATGTTCCCAGGGACTCTTTGTGCCCGACCTGCGGTAGAGCCTTCCGAGCTCATGTTATTCTGATCAGCCGCAGTCAGACGCACTGTGCCCTGACCCCGACATGGCGATGTCATTTTGGTCCTCTTTGAAAACAAAGGACAACAGCCCACCAACCAACCTCCAGAAAGCCAGCAGGTGACCTGGGTGTCCGTGACCCGGCCGCGCGGTGCGCCCAGCCTTCCCATCGGCTGCGCAGTAAAGGATGGGGTGGGGCAATCTCTCCACCTCGCCCCTCACACCCAGAACTTGATGCTTGTATCAGACAAGGAGGGCACCCACAAGGACTGGGGCCCTAGCCCGGTCCTCGTATGCAGAGGGCATGGAGGGGCTGGGCCAGGGCGGAGCAGAAGAGGCTGGAGCTGGCCCTCTGCTGGAGGACAATGTGGAGCGTTTCAGCTCGAAGTCTCTACGTCACCTCCTTCTGCTCACAGGGCAGAGCACCGACTGTGTCCTGGCTGTGTGTCCTGGATGTTCTGCATCTCCCAGGGTACCGTTCTTCGTGATCCCTGAAGATGCTTTGGGACTTTTAACAGCCCGGAGCAGCAGCAGTGACTCAGTGTTGTCCTTTCTTATTAGGGAGAAAGAGGGCAGGAGGGCCAGCCTGGGGCTCCAGGACCCGTGGGGATTGGTGAACCAGGACAAGCCGTAAGTACCGTGAGCTGTGCCCCTGACTTCGGGGAATCGCTTAGGAAAAGGATGGGTCTCAGACCTCTGGGGATGCCCCGGCAGAGGCAGGAGCGACATGGAACTTGGGCAGTGAGAGAGGGGCCGTGAGGAGGTGGAGCCAGAGCAGAGGGGGCTGAGCTGCTGTGCCGCTGGCCAGGAGGGAGTCCGCTTTGGGCCCTGGCCGTACGGATGCCAGGCTCCTCCTGGCTGCTGCTCCAGGACAGGGGTGGAGAAGTCTAAGATGACAGCCCGCCCCGACCTAAGGCCCTCACCTCACTGCCCCCGGCGCTGTGTGTCCTTGGCCACATGGCTCAGTTACTCTGGGGTCCTTGGTCTCCTCCTTGTGGAAGGGGACGGTCACCCTGCCCTGGCACAGAGCGTGAACAGCTGAGCCTATGGGCTCACTGTTGTCTGAGAAGAAGAGAAAGGACCTCAGACCAGGTGCCTGGAAAGCAAAGAGATGGGCGGGGCGTCGGGAAGGCCCGGACAGGCTTGGCTTTGGCTTTCCTGTGGTCGCCCTGCCTGCAGCTTGCCCGTGGCAGGTCTGGGGCCGGGGCTGGTCCCTAGGAGCCATGGGGTCTCTCTCAGCTTTGCAGCATCCCGGGAGGCCCCCATGCCCTTCTTTTCCCACCCGCCTCTGGTTCACCTGCTCTGGGCAGCTCAAGTTAGGTGGTCAGACTCCCATCTCTGAAACATGATAGCAAAGGTCGTTCCATTGAGCAGGAAGGTGGTTTTAAAGGGTTGATGATCTTGGTCCAAGATCACGGTCCAAGATCCTTGTTATCCGAGCACTCTCCAGGCTGAGCAATCCCAGTTATTTCAGCCCTCCTCACAGGCACTTTTGGCCATGCCTCCTGGGTGACACATCCTGAGGCCTGAGGCCCCCGCCTCCATGGAGGACCCCAGGACTCAAACTGGCACCCCAGGGAGTCTGACCAGCAGAGGTGATAAATGGCAGGCTGTCTTTACGGCTGCATTTGCTATTTCTACAGATGGACTGTAGTCAGACCCCAAAGGCAGGGGACCCCAAAGAGTGCAAGTCTCTGGCGAATCCCAGAGGCGTATTCATCTCTCTCCCTTTCCCTGTCCCCCTCCCCCTCTCTCTCTCCTCCCTCTGTCATCAGGGTCCCCGGGGTCCTGAAGGAGCCCCAGGAGAGAGAGGCGTCCCGGGAGAAGGACTTCCAGGCCCCAAGGTAATGCCCAAACTGAATGTTCAGCAGCCTTGAGTAAGAAGAGAAAGTGAGGGTCCCCAGCAGCATTTCAGACACTCGGTGGGCACCCGACCATGTCACGAACGTCAGCTGAGCGGTCATCACACTTGTCCCCAGCTGGGCGATATCTGCATGCAGGCCAGGCTCAGGGAGGCTTCCCAGTTTCCTCTGGAGTATCCCATCATCCTGAAGGTGACAGCTGTAAGGGGCCTCTCCCTGCTCACGAGGGGATGGGATCAATTTCGCTGCAGGGACAGCTCTGACTGACAGAGGTCTGCTTTGGGGAAAAGTCAGGCTGCCTTGGCTAGGGACCCCGAGACGCCATGGGCCAGGGGAAGGCCCCGTGTACCCCACTGACAGGACATATCCCTGCTATATAGTGACTGCCACTGGGGGCCCCCATGAGGGGCTGGAAGGAGAGAAAGGGGGCAGAAGACTGGCTGAGAAGGGGTCGCTTACAGGGGACAGCATCTCCTTCTTACCCCCAACAGTCCTTGCCCTTCAGGAGCTCACTTCTTCTGAGGGAGATGTGGTTGGAGAAGACTTGGGGACACAACTTTGCTGTGCTAACTCAGCAGCTGCATTATTTAATGCATTCAGAGGCTGCCCTGAGAGGCTCTGAGCCCAGGGTGAGGCAGGTAGGGTTCTCCAACGCCAGCCTTGATCAGATGCCCCTCAGCTGGAGGGGCTCAGGTCTAGGGGCCGTAATTTGGGAAGGACATTGTCATGTCTGCAAACACCGGAGAGGAGAGGACATGGCTAGGGCAGAGTACCAGGGATGCTGAGCTCTCTGACCTCGAGTAGACATATGTATCACAGTGTTCAGGTATCTCCAAGCCCCAAATCCCCGCGCTGGTCACAGATGGGGCTGTGGGCACACAAGACCTCAATGGCACACACACATATACACATGTCCATAGACATATACACGTACAGATGTACATGGACATACACACACACACAGACATACACACATCCACACATACACAGACATGTACACATATAGACATACATAGACATACATGCACATACACATATACACACATCCATAGACATATACATGTATAGATATACATAGACATGCACACACATACATAGACATCCACACATCCACAGACATGTACACATATAGACATACAT